CTTCTGCCCCAAGCATCTCCAAAAACCAACTTGCCTGCAGACTTGGAAGGGGTTCAGGCTCAGGGTTCAGGGTGTTGAGTTTAGAGGTTTAAGGTTTGAGGGCTGGAGTGAAGAAAATCCAGAGGTGGCCAAGCAAGAAACTTTAAATCAACTAGGCCTAGCCCAAGCAAGGCAACCCCCCCCCTGATTGATTATCCGGCTGCTGCAGAACAATTGTGTTTTGTTTTGCTTTTGTTTGACTGTTGAGGGTTTAGGGTGAGGGCTTCGTCCCTAAGCCCCAACCTTTAACGACTTAAATTAAGGTTGCGACCCTAAAGCGTCAAGCACCTAAGCCCAGGAACTTAAGTCTAAAACGAAGCCTTAAAGCCCTAACCTCAACCCTAAACCCTGACACCCTAAACTCAATCCTCAACGCCCTAAACCCTAAAACTCTAACCTCAGCCCTCAGCCCCAACCTTAAACCCTTACAGCCGGCATCTCCCGCAAGCCCGAAACCCCCCAAATTTATCTTGGGGGGAAGGGGGGGGTGGTCGGATCAGGCCACCAGCTGAGCTAACTTGGGGGGGGGGGGATTAATCAAGAAAACCCATTAAACAAGACTTCGGCTTTCAAGATTTGAAACTTGAAAAGGATGTTGCGGTTTGCTGAGGCTCTTCTTGCCCATTGCACGATTGCCTTTCTTCTTCTTCATCTCCGCATCGCTAGTGCTTCCAGAACTCTCCTGTGCGTGGCTTCGGGGGTTGTGAGGCATCCTTTGTCAATGACACCCACAAGACAGCTACTTTAGTTCGTACTTTAACTTCCATCTACTTTTGGAGAGGCAGACTACAGCAAGTCATGAAGGCTATGGCGATGGACAAGTTTCCAATTCAGCGCGAGCGAACTGTAAGATCATTTCGGATCCAATTTCCGGCATCAAGCATGTCATCGGGCATGCAGGTCTTTGCGTGAGGGTAACGTGTGCAACCGAAGCGATTAAGCATCCTGTGAGTATTCTTGGCCGGGCAGGTCATGATAATCATCACAGTGCCTGGCCTCATCGCTGGTCGTCGGGGGAGTTGGTGGAGTTTGCTTGCATCCGAAAATGTGGGACATGGCAGCGATAGCGCACGACCCTATGGCTGCTAGACATGTTGCATGCACCATTACGCATTCACCCCTACAGGTACACCGGTCTGACCATATAAGAGCCAGCCGAAATGTTGTCTCAGTCTTGACGTTTTACTGTGGAGTCTCATGAGCCTCTTCAGCTGACATGCGAACTGGGCTCAAAACGGCTGGAAGTAGGGTTGCGCACATCATGCTGCAGCCGTCGCCCAAAGCAGCAGCGGAGGACTGCTCAGTGAAAGTAGTGCTGGTCAGGAAGCATGTTGGAAATTTGAATGTTCTGTGATGTTCGCACACGCCAAACCAGACAGACAAAGACAAAGCAACACAAACACTGGCATGCATCAATGCCACCCACTTTTCAATGCGAAAGATGCCAAAAAGCCGACAACCCGAGACTCAATGCAGTTTTGCACTTCACAGAAAGTCGAAGCTCTGTTGCGGAGGCGATGCACCCAAAGGCGCAGACAAGCGCCAGTGCTGCCTCAGGTGGTCATTAATCTGAGGCATACCCTGCAAAACGTCGTGTTGAGTCAATAATGCTAAAAGCATTCGCAGTAGCAGCAGTAGTCGTATGAGTAGTCCTCATAGCAGAAACAACAGTAAAGTCACAGTCGCATTCGTAGTAGTAGAGATAGGAGTAGTCGTCGTCGTCCCCGTGGTAGCAGTAGTCAAAACCGTGTAGTCGTAGCAGGGGTCGTAGCAGTACGGGTAATAGCACTAGTAGCAGTAGCAGTAGCA